CACACCCACAAAATGGTTTTCCTTCTTTCGTTATATTATTTCTTATAAAACAGATCTTTTAAACTACAAAGTAAGTTTTATAAAAGGTGTCTACACTCTTTTTTTCTCAGTCATCGTCTTCTTCGGATTCTTCTTCTTCAAAGTTTTCATCTTGCAATGCTAAATCAATCCAATCTTTGAACGTACCAATTTTGTTCCATTCAGGTATATTTAATACTTGCAAATAAATTATACCCGTTCTCAGTCCCAATAGATATTGTTCACCATAATCATCCATACCTTCACCAATTACCAATAATTCACTTTTCATTTCATGAAATTCTTTATTCTTAACAGTCTTCTTATCATTGTACACTTTTAAATGTTCCCGTAAATCATCTTTCATTAGACCTTCACCGATGCTATTGTCATCGTCGTCTACTAGTTGTTCAAACAAATCATTACACCATGGTACATTTTCATATGGATGCCATTCGTCTAGTGGTAGAAGATCAGTTGTTGGTGACCGATATGAAAGACCAAATAGATATTTTCGACGACCATTATGAATACGAATAGCTTGTTTAATATCATTTGGAAGTGTAATACCACCGAGACGTCGTTCAGCTTCTTGTATATCATATTCACTAACACCAGGAATATAACGATTCTGATATTTAGAATTTGATTTAAAATGAACATTTATTTTCTTCCAAAGTTGTTCATATTCTTTTGAACGTGTTTGTTGTAATAATCGAGTCTTTAGATATTGTACTAAGAATAAAAGTAAAACACTGGTAAGACTCATCTCTAGATGAACTGTCACCACAAAAAGTCATATGAGAAACTCATAACATGAAAACCGTGATTCTTGTGTTCATTTCACATTCAACATTATCACAACTGACTACCCTGATCACGATCTTTAGGAAAGTGACAATCAGTTTTTTACTTTATTAAAAATGAGAAGTTAGAACTTTAAAGAAAGATCTTCTCAATTTTTCGATGAAAAACATCTGTTTTCTTGAAACTCTCGTTTCGATAATTCTCATCTTGTTTTAGATTGATGATCAAGATTCAAACACGGACAAGTTTTCAGCTTACCATTTTGCTTAATTAAATCTTCGCTATCTTGTATAAATGTCATTTCAACATCATTATCGAAGATCAGTCTTTCAGGATGAGCTAGAACCAGTGAAAAACGCTTCATAGTTTTAATACGTATCTGTTTGACAAGTACACTTACACCACAACCAAATATTTTCTCGAAGTTTTTCCAAGACTTTCTTTTCATATTCTTCTTGATTATAAATTTCTATTGTGAATGAATTTTGGCCATCTTTGCAATTAATTAATCGTTTTTCAATTTCAGTATGTGCGCGTTCTTTATTGACATTGCCATAGAAACTGTAAGTAAAATGTGTCTTATTTGACTGAGTATCTTGAATAACAATATAATGACCTAAAAACAATCGAAATAGATTTCATTTGACATCTGTTTATTTTTAGCAGTATGTTCAAGCATGCAAAAGATAAAATAATTATAGAACGCAGGTCCCGTTCTCGTTTATATTAGAATGTTTTAAAAGTTGGTTCCAATATTTTGATAAAATTCGATTTTTCATGCTCAAATTGGATGCATACGAAGTTAGTCTCTGTTGATCTATCTACATATGGAATCTCATATTAATAGTATAATGAGCTATATCTAGTCGATAACCTAATCTTCACTAACAGTAGATGACTTACCCACAGCAACTTGACCTACAAGTTCGATGGTGTCGCGATTAATTATTGATGCTTCCCTGCTTGTTCCAGTATTGGCTAAAAAAGAAAGAACAACAAACGAATTAGCTGAACAAATGAGAAAAGTTTTCAAAATGAACTTTTCTGGTCAATAATTCAAAGGATAATTATATTTAAAGATTTTTTGCGAAAACTACATCTCGCCTTGCCAGGATAGCTTGGCGAAAGGCTGATTTGTTTATAAATGAATCATTAATCTCTCGATTGTTTTATTCTTGTCCTTTACTGTAATAGTCACACTTCGAACGCGAAAGATCTTTTATTTTTGTCTGCTTACCCATATTTTCAATTCGAATGTAGTACACATTTTGATCTTCTTTGTTTTCGGTTTTAGTAAAAATGACACGTCGTTTCGATGTTTTATCTTTTGTTCCACTTGGTGTTAAAATCATATAAATTGATCTCTGCGTATGATCACTATCGTCTTCGTCATCATTATCTTTATAAACAAAATCAATATGACCACTTTCCAACAATGTCAGATGTTTGAATTGGTCATTATTGTCACTGCTTGATGCTGGCCCGTCCACTGTTTGTATTGTTGTCCGCGATGAAATTTCCGATTTCGAAGATCCTCTTTTTACCGATTTCGACTTAGTAGTCGCTGTAGAAGGCGTAGCTTTACGTTTTGGAGGCATAGTATTTTTGTAAAAGCAACTACGAGCTTGTGCAGAAACGGTGCGCAGCAAAAGAAAAAATATATGTAACTCGTTATTGATGCTGTGCACTCGTGTTTCTTGTCTTTTCTTTTTTCTCGTTCTGCTTACACTGATTAGAGTCAATAATTATTCTCGTACACAGTAGATGGATTCGTTGTTTTCTTTTTCTCGTTCTGCTTACACATGCCAGAGTAAGTGACTATTCTCATACACACTAAACAGAAACAGTTACACAAAAGAGAAGAAATCGTAAGGGTGTGGGTATTGGGAGATTCCATCTTCTCCTAGAATCACACAAAACCACATCTATCCCGTTACTAAAAAGCCATAAATAAATTTTCATCTCAATTAGAAATCAAAAGGAAAAATTCTGTTCTACTCCTTATAGTATTACTTCATCTTTTGGTTTGAATACATAACAAGATAATCTACACTTGGAAATTCATAGAATAACGTATATTCATTTTCTTCTTTAGAAGTGATGAGGGATGTTTTTTATACTAACTTTTTTCATACTGTGTTTGCCGGATAGATGAAAGATGACTACCGGAAGAATGAGCATGAGGAAAAACAAATCAACATATAGATGGGGTTTATTGAATAAATAAAAAAATGATTTAACTTCTATCAGAAATACTATTATACTAAAAACTATAATCAAATAAATATAAATTAAGATAAAACTCATTGATAGTCTTTTATGATATTCATTTGGTTTTTGAGATTATAATGTTTTTATGTGTATTATATCATTATTTTGTTTTTTGTATTCATTAAGTATGACTAATTAAAATAAATCTAAAAGCATTAATACCTTTCATGTTTAATCTTATTGCAATGCATTCATATCTCTCTGGTTATTGCCGTCATCTATACATTTCTTTTCTTGTGCTCATCGTTCATAATGCTTAATTTTCCGGTTTCCATCTATTTATATCTTACGATGCTTCGTGTTCAAAAGTATATTTGTGTATCACATTTAGATATAATATGAAACACAATTATTTTTTAGTATAGTACCCATGAACATGTTATTGTTGATATACTGAAACAAAACTAATTATGATTATTCTTATACATTCAATCAGAGGTTGTAAGTGTCCCGCTTTTAAAACAATCCACACTCACGTCCACAAGTATGTTTCTGCTAAATAGAATAAAAATCAAATGATCACTTAGACAGCTGTCAGTTAGATTTGTTATTAGAAGAAACTAACAAGTGAGATATTTTGGCACATTGAAAAGGTTTTTTTAAAAAAATTCACGTCACATGTATAATTTATTCATCAGCAATGACAATTCACTCATCTGTGTATTAAAAAACTTGTTTATTTCATTAACAAATCTTTATTATTCTCAAGTATGAAAAAGAACTGCGTTCTTGACGTTGTGATTATTTATAGGAAATAGAATTATAATGAGAAGATTATCCGCTACGAAAATTTTCTTCTAATATTATTTAATTTCATCGAACAGTTACTTGACACTTTCATGATAAATAATAGACAGAAATGTGTGCGATCTTGAAGTGTATTTTGAAGACACCAAGATTGAATCTATTTCCTAGAGTATTTACTTCGCGACAATAAAACTTTAGTAGATAATCGTCTAGATTGATTATTTCTTCCCTTAAAAATTAATTAAAACAAAAAGCGAGTTGATCCTCTATATATTCTCTTGACAATATATCGTTTTTAAGAAAGCTACCAGGAATGTTATGGTGAATAATGATTCACCAATTCTTTCTTTTTCTTTTCTCGTAGTTTTTCTATTTCATTATCTTACTGTCGTGTAGAATTACTTGTAACATGATAGATAATAATTCGTGCGTTATTTATCTCTTTCTCTTCTTCTTTCTTATCCGTGCACATATATAAATGACTTTGAGCGCGTCGTGTTCATCATTTAGAAATGTTTCAAAATAGTCTCTTTTCTTTCTTTACAAATAGAAGAGAATATAGAATAAACATCAGTATTCTGGCATAAGTTGGTCACTGTTTTTGCTGACTGATCGTAATTAGATTTGAACCATTGACATGATCACAAGGGGTTATCATTATTACTAGAGATTAGTATTTATCTTTTATACTCCTATATAGATGGAACTTTTTATACGTATATTTGATCTTCTATTAACTATTGAATATTGTTCTATTTGATAGAATTTTAATTGATTAGATGTCATCGTGGATGAGCACTTTGCTTGTCATTCAACAACAAATTATTCGTTATGTTTATTCATTATATCTTATATTTGGTATAACCGGATGTTGTCTCAATATTATTCTCTTTTCTCAACGACAGTTTCGAACAGTATCCTGTTGCACATGTAAGTCAGTTTTATTTATCGTAAAACATTGAGAGCAAACTAAACATCGTTAGATTAAGTAGTATTTTGTAACACACAAATTAAAACGAGTGTTAAAATGTATAGAGACAGAAATTTGCACTCCCACTCCATAGACGTGACAGATGTTATTAATTGGCATTAATTGATATTACAACAGCTACTTCGTGTTTCAGACTTTAATCCCATCGAGATTATACTTACATTTTGTTTTATTCTGATATATGAATGAATGAATATCTGAATAATGATTATCAATTTTTTAAACAGATTTCTTAGCATCATCTGTGGCAATGATAATGAATCTCGTGTTCGGAATCGGACCACATATGTATACATTAAATCATGCAGATCCAATTACGACAATACCCACATTTTGTAAAATGCGCATCTATTTAATTCAAGTCGTTGCATTAACGTATCGCTGGTCACTGACTGCAGCTTGTCTTGATCGATATGCACTCTCGTCAACAAATACACGTTTGCGAAAATTAGCGAAAGTAAATGTAGCACGCCGTATTGTGGGAACGATAGTGATCGTATGGGTCATTTTGCCTGTGCATACTCTTATCTTTTACAATTTGAGAGCAGGTGCATGTGGTATCTTTTATAACACTACTGCAGCACTTTTTCATGGTATCTTTACGACTATGGCATCCTGTGTTCTACCCGCCTCTATTATGTTCACTTGTGCCTTGCTTATTCGTCAAAATCTTGCTCTCAAACGGCAACGTCATCAGTTAACAAAAAAAAGGGATCAAGTAAAACATAAAAATCGTACACGAGATCAGCAAGTGTTAGTTATGCTTTTCATGCAAGTAATTGTCTATATCATTTCAGTGATACCTTTGATGATGATTTATATTTATATCTCTGTGACACTCCATATTACAAATAAATCTATCGAACGTATAGCTATTGAACGATTTGTCGGTTTTATAGCTGAAGCAATGATCTATCTGTTTCCTGTTTCGTCATTCTTTTTATATACATTGTCATCGCGCACATTTCGTAATGAACTAACTCGTCTGTTATGTTCAGTATTCGAATGTTGGCCGTTAATTAACATTCGTTACTTCCAAACCATAACGAACGATGATACATTGAGAAAAACTAATGGACATCTCACTGAAACGAGCGGACAACAAGAAATGATAGACGAATCTACCATTTGATGATTATTGATTATATTCCCAATTCTCAAATTATGTTAGGCTTCGTCGTATTATAGTGTGGTCATGTTAATGTTTGCTCTATCTCTCTCTCTGTATGATGTTTTGTTTCTTAAATGCAAGATGCCTTTCGTCTTAATTTTCTGATTAGTTGAGAATTCTGGCGAAACCACTCGACATCGTTACGTTTATATTAATTCATTATCATTTATGATCTTTATATGTGCTGATTCTCTAAGGGTGTGGGTGTCGCTAGATCTTCTCTTCTCTTGAAAACACCCTCATTCACACCCTCAAGATGGATGTTTTCTCTTGCTAGTTCCTTATATAACGCGGTGTATTTTTATTTTTTTCGATGAAAGAAAAAGATAGATGAAAACATAATAAAAATGTCTTGTCGTTTCATAAGTATGATTCACATTTGTGGAGCGAGCATGTGAACAAGATCTGGATTATCTTCCCATCTAATAAAATATAGAAAATAAGAAAGGAAATATTTGCAATGTATATATACATACGCTTTTATAAACTCTTCTTTGCTTAATTTCTTATCGTTATTTATATCAAGTTTCTTGAAGATTTCGATGGCGCGGGATTTTGGGTCATTATCATCTTTACGATTAGTTTCACCTACAAGATCATACTGAAAATAAAATATCCATCGAATCAAATTAATACAAAGAAAAAAAGTTTTGTTGTTCTTTTATACCATGCTTATAATCAAGTTGGTTAATTCTTCCAATTCTATTTCTCCATTACCTGAAACATCGTACCTAAATAAGATAGAATGAATTATAAGAAAATGTGATATGATTAACTTACATGTCAAATGCGAGTTCTAGTCGTTTCTCTAAATCACCTTGAGTTTTAGAAGAAATAGCTAGAAGAAATTCCACGAAATTTAGCGCACCGCTATTATCTTTATCGAACATTCCAAATACATATCTTTAATGATAGATTAGAAAAACGAGATATATAGTTAAACATACTTGCAGAAACAAGCTGCTCTGTTATCGTGAACATAAAATCGTTTGAAGATACGAATAAATATTTCTTTAGTAAGTTGTCCATCCGGACAATCACGAAAAAAACCCTTTTAAAAGTAAGAAGATGATCAATAAGACGAAAATTCAAGAATGTATAGTCACTTACAGCATGCCATGCTTGAATATCTAAATAACAAAATAGATCAAAAACAAATATCGATAATATATGATAATTACCTTTTTCACTAAATTTAGTAGCTTCTTCAAGTATGGCAAGTGCTATAAATGAATGAAGTAGTAGTCAATTGTGAGAATAAACGAATGAAATACGAACTTTTTGCTGTAAGTTGTGTCTGTTTGCGAGCCTGCTTAGTTCCGTTGTTTGCTCTGATTGATGATATTATTTTTGAAGTATGAAGTTCTGAAGAAACAAAGCTAACTGAATGTTACATATGTTTTACTTTTACATTATGTGAAACGCCATAATGTAAATGATAAAATAATGTAGTGAAAACAAGAGTAGGAAAAAATAGCAGCAATCTTGAGGGTGTG